TTTTTTTTTTTTTTTTTTTTTTTTAATTAAGAAAATAAAATAGTTTCTTTTACTTCTTAGAAATTTATATTTGTAATTTGAATATTGTTGAATATCCAAACTCTTATTGTAGTATTTGAATTGGTGTGAAAGTTCTATATTCTTTTTTATCCCTTGTATTTTATTTTACCCTTCTTCATTTTAGGCTCGGTGATTCCTCCATCTCAATGCCTTGTTCGTTGAAGAGAGGAAAAACATTTTTTTTAGAAGGGTGTGGAAATCTCTCATAGTAGACGCGTTTTAAAATTGTGAGGCCAACGATACGTAACTGGTTATTAGTAGTGAGCTTGGACTATTACAGATGGTATCAAAATCAGATATGGGGCAGTGTGCTAGCGAGAACCTTGGTCCCCCAAGGGGGTGGATTGTGAGATCTCACATCAATTGGGAGAGAATAAAGCATTCTGTGTAAGGGTGTGAGAACCTCTCTCTATTAGACACGTTTTAAAATTGTAGCGGTGAGTTTGGACCGTTACAAATGATATTACAGCCAGACATCAGGTGGTGTGCCAACGATGACGTTGGACCTCTACCGGGGTGAATTGTGAGATTCCACATCGATTGGAGAAGAAGACAACGGTACGGACAATATCTACTAGTACTGGACTTGAGCTTGAACTAATTGTAACGAGTCAAAATAGACAATATCTATTTTAATGGTTCAATTATTAAAAATATCTATTTTAGTTGTACAATTATTAAAAAGAATCTCCATTGTTATTTTATTTAATTGCATATTCTTATCACATTTAATTTCACGTTCATGAAGTGATTTTTGTAGTATAAATTAATAAAATTAATTATTAAAGGATAAAGCACAAAATTTTTATCTTCACTAAATGATAAAAATAGCATTCTTATCTAAAAAAAAGGATAACATTTACAATCACGTTTTAAAAAAGTTACTCATTTTTATTTCATTAAAAAATTATCTAAATAATTTAAAAGATGTTTTATTTAAAGAAAGCCAGAAACTTAAAAGCTAATACACGCCAGCATCCTACGTGTATCCACGTGGGTTATTTACTAGCCATCCGATCTATACAACAATCATCCAACGGCAGACGGTAAAGCGGTGCTCGCGCGGGAACGAAAAAGGCTCGTGGTCCACGTGCGTTGCCACGAGGTCTCTCAATATCCACACAAAATCCGCCACGTCATCCAAACGCGGTTTTTTGTTGACAACAAGACCTCTTTCCTTCCAAAAATTACGACTCGTTGCTTCTTTTTACTTCCAATTTTCAATCAATCAATTCTTCCGAAGCCACGTTCCCTACATCCATGGAGGTCTCTGGTGCCGTTTCCCGGCGACTTCCCGGCCTCATCCGCCGAGAGATTGCTCAGTCTTCCATGGAGGTCTCCGGTCATGATGCCCGGCGGGCGCCCTGTAGCCTGTCCATTTCCGGTGGCTCTGTTCGTACTGAAACTCGTGATTTCGGCCTCTACGTTCGTCGGAATATAAATTCTCCTAGGTTTAGCGATGACGGTCATGTGCGGTATTATGTTGGAACCAGGTGCCATGGGGGCAGATTGAAGAAGGAGAAGGAGGCGGTGAAGAAGAAATTGAAATTGCTGAAAGGATTGTCTGGTGATTCATCTGCGGCTTTTGCATTCGGCTTCGTGTTTCGTTTTGATGATAGCTCGGTCGGCGAGTTTCAGGCGGATCGCTTCTCTGTAAGTTGAACCATTCGGAATTTCTCTCCTTCTCTACCGTTATTAAAATCTTATGATTCGAATCCTGTTTGCTCGCGCCACTTGATAGTTGATCTGTAATGGCTGAATAATTTGATGCTTTCATTTGTAGTATCAAGCGGTATTAATCATATCATGTTGAATTGGAGTTGGATTTACTTACATTTATTCGCCATGGAACTCTTCTGTTTTTGCTTTGATCATCCAAAGAATCGCTCTAGAACTCGGTTTTTTTGGTGCGTTTTTGGCTGAATAGATTGGTTGATAACATCTTTGTTGATCAGATTGAGGAAACGAGAGAGGTGTTGGAAAGACAGCTTCAACAGCTAAAAGCAGAGGAGAAGGAACAGAAAAGAAAAAGGAAGCTAGAAAAGGCCAAGCTGAAAGCAGCTCGATTACAAACCGCTCACGATTCATCATCTTCATCCTCCGAATCCAGCGCCATTGAAGGCAATATGACCAACACAAGCTACCGAACAAGGAAGGCGAATTCACCCTCACTTTCGCAGCCATTCTCAGATCAATGGCAGACAAATGCCATTCAAGGATCAGCATTAGCTCCTCCATTGCAGACCCATCAGCTGAATTCAAACACCGGAAACTTCGGTGTTGCCCGATCGTCATCTGTAGGGAGGGTTGAAGTGTGTATGGGAAACAAGTGCAAGAAAGCAGGGGCAGCGGCATTGATGGAGGAATTCGAGAGGGTGATGGGGGCAGATAGTGTTGTTTGTGGGTGTAAATGCATGGGAAGATGCAGAGATGGACCAAATGTGAGAGTTTCTAGTTCTTTGGACATGGAAACTCGCTCTGCAAATCCACTGTGCATTGGAGTTGGAGTGGAGGATGTTGGTAGAATTGTGGGTGATCATCTAGGAGGACAAGGGGAGCATAAACAACCTAGGTTTGCACCTTCAATTTGATGCCTTCTTGGGAGAAATTAATTTAGTGTAGTTCGTAAAAAGTTTATCATCTTCCTTATGGGTTTGGGAAATTTTGGAGCCAATCCAGCTGCTAGGACTATGAAGTTCAGGTAGATGGAGGATCATTTTAGCCTCTTTTAGTGTGTTTCTGACAAATTTGTTGTAACGTCCGTTCATCGACCGCTTGAGTCGACCTCTTGAATCACAAGAGTTACTACTAATACAGAGAATTTGCTTTGTAAAACCATCAAACAGAATATTTTCTTATATGATAAGTAAAATATGTGAATTATTTTTATTTACACGAAGTCAACTTAGGGAACTTTTTTTTGGGTCTGTTCTATGAACTTGTGCTTTTATTGAGAACTTATACTAGTTATTTTAAGTTGTAAAAAGTGCGTAAATACGTAAAAGAATGTACTTTTTATAACTCAAAATAACCAATACAGATGTTTTACTTATCATATATGGAAATGTTATGTTTGCAAACCAAATTATGTGTCAGTAGTAACTCTTGTGATTGCTGTTGATGAACGGGTGTTACGTTAGTTATGTAAATATAGGTTTCAAAAATTAAAATTCCAAGTATTCATAATTAAGAGGTGAATTTTAGCTTTAATACAAAGGAGTTAACTATAAGATCAAGAAAAAGATATTCCTTTTCTTAGGTGCAGCAAAATGATTGTATGATTTAATGCCTGGGAAGTTTCAACTTGGATTGAGTATCAGCACTTACATTGCTGCAGCGCTTAATGAATGAGTCTAATGTCTTTTGCTTTGAATTTGGACTGCTGCTTGAAGCTGGCTGCTGCTTCACTGCCACTTCCAATGTGTTCTCTTCCCCATCCAGCATCTACAATTCACCAGTTCAAACATAAAACTACAAATCCAAGCTAACAAATACAAATAAGTTTAGAATCCGAGCTACAAAAAGAAACTATTTTGGTCTCGAAACACTCATTAAAGTTCTCGTTGGAACTTGGCGTAATACAAACCTATCAAAGATAATCTCTGTTTGTTTACGATGCTTCTATAGACAAACGTTTGAAGTCACGTGTAGTTGGGTTAAGTGTAAGGCTTGCTAGAAGATTAAAGTGCTCGTCAAAGGGTCCAACTTAACGGTGATGTGAGATCCCACATTGGTTGGAAAGGAGAACGGTGTGGAAACCTCTCCCTAGTAGACACGTTTTGAGAACTTTGAGGGGAAATCTGAAAGGGAAAATTCAAAGAGGATAATATCTGCTAGTAGTAGGCTTGAGCTATTACAGGTGAAGACTAAAAGTATGTATATTTTGGATTGAGAACCGAGGCACCAAATTTGAAATAGGGTTAAGTTAGGTCTAGTTTTATAATTTATGCAAAGTTCAAGGACTCATATCTCAAACTTAAAAGCTTATCGACCAAAAGATAATAAACACAAAAGCTAATGACTAAAATAGAATTTAAATCTCAGTTGGAAATTTTCTGGATTGAGAGTTACCTGTCCTAAATTTTCTAACTTGCTCTGAACAACATCCCTGCAATAAGCAAATAAATGGATTAATTTACTCACAGATATCGTTTAGCCAACACTCAACGGGAACTTACCATATGATATCATCGACTGTGTCGTTCGCCAGTAGATAATGTATGTTAACAGAAGACACCTACAAGAACAAGATCACCCAATGAAGATTACTATTATCATTGTACTTGAAACTTATAGAACATATAGCATGTTCATACCTGTCCAATTCTATGAGCACGATCTTCAGCTTGAATCAGATCACCCGGGGTCCAAGAAAGCTCGGCAAAGATAACCGTGCTGGCAGCGGTTAACGTTAGCCCGACACCTGCAGCTCTGATAGATAACTGCAGAAGTTTTAAAACTTTGGTCACCATTTTAGCTTCCATTGAGAAACTGTTGAAAATTTTGGGCAAAAGAAAATGGTACCACTGCTGCCCTGATAGAATCTTTCTGCTGAAAGTCTGCAATCAGAGCTTGCCGTGTTGCTGACGGAGTACCCCCGTCAATTCGAATGCAGTTCACTTTCTTTTTCTGGAAATCAGCAGTTTAAATAAGAAAAAGACTGATCTCAAGCCAGAAACTGGTGTATAGCAACAATGGCTTACTTGAAAGAACTGGTGTATAGCAACAATCATGGGCTGATGATGAGCAAAGACCAGAAACTTGCAACCTGCCTGTGAGAATTATTAAGTGTACTTTAACATAATATATCCACTTGAATGTACACTGACAGACGTCCACATAACAAAAGTCGAGATATTAAGCAAGCTGGTAGTACACATGGATGTTTGGAAGAATACCTCAACCACAGTCTCTAAATAATTAAGAACTGCTGGAATCTTGGCTTCAGCAGAATCAGTGTATATCTGGTTTCAATATAAAGTTGGAGACTTTCAAATAAGAAAGGAGGAAGATATTGGGCAAATTTTCGAGGTTATTTAATAAGAAAAACATCTCTATAAGACCTTGATGCACCGAATTTATAGCTAAAAATCAAATTCAGGGATGCTAGTTCTCACATGAACACTTAATATGCAATAAAATGAGCAGCATTGAAAGTTACCTTATTAATAAGATTCTTTTGTTGAAACTTCAGTGATTCTACCTCCTCTTCTGATCTGCAGGCCTTAATTTTTCCTTTAATAACCTCCAACTGTAGACAAACACATTATATCAGTAGAAACGCATTGTTTATTGAACTCCCTGAATGAAGGCTATTATAAATAAGTAACAAACCAAAGTTGGGGCTGAGCATAAAGGAAAAATGATAATTCAGAAATGTGTGATTTCTGCTTCACAAAAGACTATTTGGCCGAAAAATGAAAAGTAGTAGTTTTTCAAGACAGGATTGAATATGTTGATTGAGTTCGGGGTAGTAATTGCATCAGTCGTATCTTAATCCGATACTTGAGTGTATTTTCTGTGTCGGAATCTTCATATTGTTTGCTGATTACTGTGCACTCGATCCTACCGTTTGATTATCCATGCTTTTTACTATTTATAATGATGTTTGAAAGAGCTACTCAAGTTAAAGGCTATGTGAAAATAAATCAAACAAAAAAAAAACTTCTAGAAAATCATCCAAATAGGCTTTCTGTACTCAGAAACAAAAGCTTACGCTAAATTATAAAAAATATCCTTGTTCATTCAAAAATTGTAATACACCTTTCATAAACATATAAAACTACCTTCACGAGTACAAATTCTTTCGAATGTTGGACAAAAAAATGACATGGAAAAATATAGTCGTAACTAGAATGCTTGTCTGGATTAAGTCGGAAAGAACGGCATACAAACATGTAGATTTTTCATCCAACATTCAAATGATTTCTCTACTCTAAGAGTAGTTTTGAAATGTTCATAACAGTTCAAGGATAATATTGCAACTTGAAAGAATATGGATACTTTTTAAACAAAAGGGTAGTTTTTATAATTTAACCTAAAAAACTCAGAAAAGTAGAACCTAAATCTTGGCATTTCTTGATTCTAAATAGGCTACTTTTTCAATTTTAGCCTGTAGATCAGAGTATTCTTTATCCTCTTATTTCTCTAGAATTTAAGTTTAAGTTTAAAGGGTTGCCATACAAATGCCCAAGGATAAGCTAAATATTCTGGATGTTCTTAAATTACCTCACAAAATAAAGCTTTAATTCCCCTTATGTCCTTCTCAGCCAAATCAAGGAACACCTGCAAACATGAAGCAAATTGTCAGAGGACCAGTAAGAAAAGAAAAAAGGGAAAAAAATCTTTAAAACAAAATGAATTGGAACATGTACCTGTTGCCTACGCTTCAGAGGGAGCTCAGAAAGAACTTCCTTTTTAAGCCTGCGGATCATCAAGGTTGCTTTCATCAGATTGTGTAATTCTTCATGGTTACTTGCACCTTGATATAATCCAAAAGTTCCCTGAAAATGATGATGTTTCTAAGTGATTCAGACAAGACCACAGCTATGCGTAACAAGCTTTTGATTATAGAAGCCATTGTTCCTTACACCCTTGCAATATCTGTTGCCATACTCGTGAACACTTTTATACACATTTGGATATAATGCTTCCAACTGCAAAGTTCAAAGAAAATTCAACTGACATAAAAACCAAATACTTAGACATGTACATGGAATTAAGCCAGAAAGAACAAGTAAACTCAACCTGCTTGAGGAGTTCAATTGGTCGAGACAATGCTGGAGTTCCACTAAGCAAAATAGCATACTGAGCTTTCTGAAAATAAGATTTTAACATGTGTAAGGGTTATAAAGGAAAAGGAATACCTGTGCATAAACTCCATGTGCATTACAGCGCACATTTTAGTGCCACGTGCAATTTCCAAAATGCATGCATTTTAGCCAAAGACACATTCAATTTCCATAATGCATTTGGAACGGCTCAAGCCACCGCTAGCAGATATTGTCCTCTTTGGACTTTCCCTTTCGGGCTTCCCCTCAAGGTTTTTAAAACGTGTCGGCTAGATAGAGGTTTCTGCACCCTTATAAAGAATATTTCGTTTTCCTCCCTAACTGATGTAGGATCTGACAGCATCCACTTTGCCAAAAATGTATCCATTTAAAACTGATAGGATGCGTCTAATTAGAAACACATTTTCAGTCAACTCTGTCAAATACGCTTGCATCATGCACGATAGACACATTCATTCTACTCAACAGAACTACCCTGGGTTACGAAATAGGTTGAAAATAATCCATTTATACTCTTGTTAAACCCCAAAAAAGACTTGCCAAAAAATCCATGCAGGAGTGGACTTCATTAAGAAGACAAGATAACCTGTATAATGGGCAAACAAGCGACCGTCCTCTTTGCTTGAGCATTTTTCATGTAGTGTGACTCATCTGCAATAACAACCTGACAAATAACTAGGCCAGTGTATGAGCATTAACATTCAGGGTAGAGAATAAAGAAACCCGTAGAAATATTACTGAGTTTGTAATACTACAACAAACAAACCAAGGATCTTGTCTGAAATACATGACAACATTGTAAAACATAAAAAATAGAAGGACAGAGCGAGAGAATACAGAAGTCCACGAGAACCTTTTTTGAAAAAGAAAAAAAAAGATGAGCGATGATTTACTTGCTGCATGAAATGAAATAACTAAACAAAATCTAGGCGTTACATAAAAATGTACAGAGGCACCTTAAAGTCCGAGGCCATTAGAATATTCTGTAACTTCTGAACCGCATCATAGGAGATGATGTTGAAAAGGCCATCAAGATGAATGGTGCTTTTGGTGCTTGAGGAGAGGATAGTAAATCCACTCTTATTTGACCCGCAATTTTGGGACAAAACAACCTGATTCAGAACTTAATAAAGTATAAACATCTAAAGCTGCAACTCAAACATCCTTTTTAAACCCTATCAAGACACCAGAAATCTTGTACAAGATATAAAATCTCAATCCAATAATCGATTAAAAAAACAAAGAAAGCAATTACAGAGACGAGGATGCGGTTAATACATGAATATCTGATGAAGGAATTTTGAGCCATTGCTGAATCATCTGGAAGAAAGCAAAAGAGAAATAACAAGTTAGCAAAAATTCTCTCTTTAAAAAGGAGGTGAAGTTGACAAAATATTTACAGCAGCCCAGTGCAAGCGTAAGGAGGATGGTGCGAGTATAAGAACGGGCCATGATTCACGAATACATGCAGCCACAGCAATAGCCTGCAGAGAGTATGAACAAACTAAGGATTTTGAGATAACACAACATTTAAGAGATAAAAATCAAAGTTTACATCTCCGAAATAAGGTGTGTTTTATTCATTATCTAATAAATTGTTGTTCAAATATAACATAACAATTACAAAGCTCAGTTAGAGAGTCATTTGCCTGCAAAGTCTTCCCTAGCCCCATTTCATCTGCCAAAAGAGCACGACCTCCATGCTGTAAAATAAACCTGAAAATAGCAATTGACAAAGATAAAAAAGAAACTCATACATATCAAATTTAGAACTTCGAACTATTATGATAAAACACAGTGGCAACTGACAGAACTCTCGAATACTTCATACCCAACACCTTCCCGCTGAAAGGGTAAAAGCTTTGATTCGATATCCGCAGGTAACCTGTTATATTTGTCTTGTACAAAATCATAGAAAACATCAAAAAATTTAGTATATACATATATTAATATGCAAACAACCCCTGAATAGAGAAGTAATTTACAGAAAGAAGGGGTAACTAGGAGTCAAACCAATGCCTGAGTTAGGATATTTAATATAAATGTTACTAACATCGAGTTTCTAACCACATTCAATATCTACCTCGTAGATCAGGAAGCAGAGAAGCTGCTATGATAGCACGATGCACCAAGCCATCTAACTTCTCTACCTGTGAAAAAACTAAACTACATTATTAGGATATCTTATGCCACAACAGACTGTCCTCATAAATATTATTTTGTATCAATCGATTGTAGCAAAAGGTAATGACGCAAAGGTTACAACCTCAACTTTAGAACCAACTACGTCGCGTAAAACATTTTCTGCCGCTGACATACTAGATATTGGAAACATCCATAATCTGCAGGTACGAAAGTTTAAGAGATACAAATGGTAACAGACAAATACAACCATGATGAGAGCGAGAAGTGAGTGGAGGAAACCTTTCTTTTGCGTTCCAAGTGGCTTTAGGGATTTTTCGAAAAGCTTCTACCAGTACCTATAAAATATGCATGATGATATAGAAGTAAAGGAGGATTTGATTAGCAGTAGCTAGAACAAAATCTTTGTAGGCAGCTAGAAAATGCACCTGATCGTATGAAAATTTTGCGGCAATGTTCCCGCTGCTGTGAAGAAAAAATTTGACAGAAAGCTTAGGTAGTTCCTTTGCACCTTCATCTCCTTACACAAATAGCCAAAAGATATGCAGATAATAAATAACTTTTAGCCGCTCATTATTATGTTGGAGCAATATAAGGGGAAAGTTTGATACATGAGATTGAAATTAAAGTAAAAAAAACAACTCAGGGCTATCAAAAAGAGCCCCCATAGATTAGACGGTGCCAAATAAAAACCAAGAAAAAATAATTACATTAAGAGCTCCAATCTTCCATGTTCCAATCAGGGATAATTGACAATTAGAAAAAGATATGCATTCAAAGACCAAACAAATGTATCAAATTGGGTCGATAGACTAAGTACAAACAATCCAAATTCAGCTGGGATATGATCATTTCCTAAACAATTCCATTATTGAACTCTAATCGTTAGAAAAATCCGCATTCAAAAAGTTATAAGCTTTGTTCAAATTGTAAAGAGAGATAGAATTACGAAGCTGAAAAATTAAAAGCTTACCAATGTGCTCTTTTGACGTAGCGGATGAAGGTAATACTCCGACCAAGGGAGGAAGGGTTTCCACCTGAATATTAACAAATGATCAAAGATTTGGAAGCATGGTAAAAACAAATTACACCAAAGAACACCATGGACGCGGACATAGCGCTACAATCTCAGAAACAGGGTCCTAAAGGTACAATAAAACACTACAAAAACCATAATCAAAGCATGAACCAACGACAAACCCCGCGCGAATGAGAACCCCGTGCAGGATTGAGTTTGGAAGATTGAAATGCAGGGTTTTGAGGTTTTAGGTTGCAGATTTTGGCCTCATTTGATTGAACGAACTGATGAGAGTGTTGATTATAAGCAGAGCAAGGAATAGAGACGTTTACTGAAGAAGAAGAAGCAGAAGCAGAAGCAGCAGCGGAATGAAGTTGAGCGATCTTCTGAACAGCATCTCTCTCGAGGGAATCGAGTTCTTCAAGTGTCAAGTTCCAATCATCATCTTCATCTCCAAATTCCATTTTTCTTGGAGAAAGGCGCGAAACCCTTTCTCCAATTGCCGCTAGAGTCTCCGATGAAATGGAATCTCTCCACGCGCCAATTTTGAAGTGCACTACGGGGCGGGACGCTGTCGGAATGATCTTTCCCGTTCGTTATTTTATGGGATTTTTTCCATTCCTTATATTTCCATATTTCAAATTATATATATATATATATACATACATTTTTTTTATTTTTTAATTCAATTATTTGTGAATTATTATTATTTTTTAAAAAAAATTTAAAATCATAATCTTATTTTATCAAGTAAATATTAAAATATTATTTTAAGCAGTATACAAATATGATTGATTGACACATGGTTTAAATCTAGTATAAAATATCCCCCGAATACGATACCAGCTACGTCAACAAAATTTTGTATCCACACAAACTTGGTGGGCATGCTCGTAATAGTTTACACAATCAAACTTAAAAATTTCGAACAAATTCGTCATGTATATCTAATTATTGATAAAAATATAAATCTCTGAGTTATTAATTTAATATTAAATGTTATTAACGAGGAATATTTATGAAAAAATTTAAATACAAAATTTCACAAAATAATAACTCGAATAATAAATAAATTTAGCGTATTTAAAATAAGCTTTATTATTATTTTAAATTAGCACCGTGTCGTTGATATTTTTAGTTTTCTTAGAACCCTAAACCCCGAGTGGTCACCTTGCTTGCTGCCGCTCTCCCTCCATTACACTGCGTACAGAGAGAGAGAGAATGAAATTCCAGTGTCTCCGAGATCGGAATCTACTCTGAAACTGAGCCAAAGCTTTCCATTTTCTCTCTTGCATCTCCCCGTCTAAGCAATCTTTGCGAGTGTTCTTCACCATGTCGGCTTTATCCAGAGGTCTCATTTCTCGTTTTCGTCTTCTGTCGATCAATTCCGCCGCTTCACCGACAATTACTTCTTCTTCTTCTTCTTCTTCTTCATGGACGCATCCGTCTTGTTATTTCTTCTTCCGTACTTTCAGTACCGAGGGTTCGATTCAGGCTGGCGATGGCTCTTCGCTTTCTTCTCCGATTATTGAAGCTAAACCTGGTGTTATGAGCCCTAACTCGAAGCGTACGGGAGTCATTGCTGTCAAGTGTGGAATGTCGGCGCTGTGGGATAAATGGGGAGCTAGGGTACCCATCACTGTGCTCTGGGTTGATGATAATATTGTATCTCAGGTCAAGACTATTGAGAAAGAAGGCATCACAGCTCTCCAGGTACTGTTTAAATATCTTCTTCTCGTTTTCATTTCTGTCAGCGGAGTAGTTTTTGTTTATTATTCTTGTGAGCACTGCTTAGATGAAATTAGGAAGGGGACATTGTTGGCTCTGGTAGTCTTGGTTTCTGAATGGCATGGGATTTTGGCTTAATGATGCCGAGGAGTACATCTTTGGAATACTATTTGCTATGTTACTCTCTCTGTGAGAGGGATTTGAAGCTGTTACTCTGTTACTCCTACCCTTTCAATTCCATGGATTCTGGAACTATACTGAATTGAGCTGCACACTGTTGTTTTGGATCAGCATTTCACCTATGAAAGATATTCAGTTATCAGAATAGAAGTTGAACAGGGTATTTATGTACGTTCTGTCTTTCATATGGAAATCAGAGGCCAATGGGCCATTCCCTTTACTCGTACCGATCAGAATCTGACCTCACAAGAAATTGAGCAAAAGACTGCCGAATTGGCCTATTTCTTGCGTGTACCCATTGAAGTTTTTTGAAAAATGAAGTTCAGAATGAATGCTTTCTTAGTTCGTAGCAAGAGGTATATAACTGAAATGAAAGAATAATCCTTTTAATAGACAATAGTAATAGTATAACTTAACGGGAGTTTCTTCAGAATGCTCATTTGAGACAAAGCAGACGAATACGGATTAGACAGAAAACTGTCTTGGTCCGAAATTTTGTGGCTTCCATTGTTACACTTAACTAGATGTGATTATATGACCTTTTTGTTCTTAATAACTGGGTTATCGAGGTTCAAATTCTCGTATCAAACTCATTGCCTACCTCCCTAATATTTGGGAAGCAACAAGAGTTTTGATTATTACTTACACTTACCATTGTTGATTTCACCATTTCTAAGGGGAAAAAAAGTTGTCTTGACCGTTAGACCATATGTATGAGATCTCTTTTTTCAGTTCTTACAAATTTTATGGCATAGGACTTGCATTTATTGACCAAATGTGCTATGCTATGGTGCTAGTTAGATTGGCTGTGGACAGAAGAAGGCGAAGCATTTGACAAAACCCGAGGTAGGTCATTTTAGGGCTCAAGGTGTTCCATTGAAGAGGAAACTGAGGGAGTTTCCAGTGACAGAAGACGCCCTTCTTCCAGTTGGTACGACAATTGGTGTTCGTCATTTTGTCCCTGGACAGTTTATTGATGTGACAGGAATAACAAGAGGGAAAGGTTTCCAGGTGAGTCCATTGCAGCATTCCTTCATTAATTTTTTAGCTCACAGCCTCTACTCCTATTAGGTTTCTTTCATTCCCTTGTATTTGTTAATATGGTTAAGTTAATTACATATTCAAAACACATGAATGTTATTGTGGGAACATAAATGGTTAAGTTAATTGCATATTCAAGCAAATATTTTCAATAAACACCGTAACCCAACTCTAATATTTTACCATGATTTACCTAACTCGAACTTGTTTTGTTTGGCTTGAATGCTTAATTATCTAACATTCTGCATGATCTGCGGGGTGAAATTTGAACATCAAAGTCACAGTGCTGTACATGTGTATGTTATCACAAGACAATACGGACAATTTCTCGATGAGATCACGTGCATCCTCAAGATGACAAGAATTAAAACAATCACACAATTCATATATATAAGTATAAACACGAAAAATATTAAGGGCTCTATACAAACCCTAGGAGAAACTTGTGTAGCTGATAACTTATGTTGATCTTTGATCTTTGCTTTGTTTCTGTTTTTCATGTTTTTGCTAATCTGGTTGTATGTTTGTGTTCTAGACATAAAAAAGCTGTTTTCTTTCCATGTGTAAATGGTATAATATCTTTTCCATAAAATGATGTCTCTTATGGCTAATCTTTTTTCTTATTGTTCACAGGGAGTGATGAAAAAGCATGGATTTAAAGGAATGCCAGCATCCCACGGAGCATCATTATCCCACAGAAGCCTCGGTTCTACAGGTCAGAGGGATGCTCCTGGGAAGGTGTGTTTATCTTTTCATGGTGACACTCATTTTTAAGATTGAGTGGTTATTTCAGTTCTCAAATGCATTTTAAGGCTACCCAAAACTCACATCTGGTTGAAACTCGAGCATTGAAGATATCCGCGTAGTAGTAGGGTAATATATCGTGCTAGCCTACTTCGACATAGGACTTTGATTCTGTCTCCTTCGTTTCCTGTCAATGTGCAAGGTTCTTTCTCAATGAATGGAGATTTTAGAGAATAGAAACAAGAATTTGATGGGACTAAACAAAAAGGAATAACTTGCACGGTAAAAGGACGTTTTCTGGATTTATCTATGCTTGTGCAATGAATCAATATCGAGTAATTACTATATTGTAATAGAACAAGCTTGAATTGTTTTTTTAATACCAACTTTATCTGCAGTAGAATTACTATGTTGTAATAGAACACGCTTTGGTTTAGTCTGATTTATTTCTTGAATCGTTTTTATGGTCTGTTATGTTGCGAGTTCTACTCCGTTTTCTCTGTATGCCATGTCGTATACGACTGAGAAACGTGTTCTTATTTTCCAGGTTTTTAAAGGTAAGAAGATGGCTGGTCGTATGGGTGGGAAGCAGAGAACTGTGAAAAATGTGTGGGTCTACAAAATTGATCCTGCAAGAAACTTGATGTGGGTTAGAGGACAAGTAAGTTTCTTTCAATTTACACATAAATATGACACTCTTGCGACATTGTGATCTGAGATTATTTGCTGCACAAACTTCACCTTTCAGGTCCCGGGCGCCGAAGGAAACTTTGTATTTATAAAAGACGCCTTCTACAAGAAACCCGACAAGTCGATCCTTCCATTCCCTACCTACTTTGCGAACAACGACGAGGACACAGAGACGTTGGAACCTCTCGTTGCTGATCTTGGAGAAGTAGATCCATTCATGGTTGGAGAATGATAGGGAGTTGGGCTTTTCAGTGCAAGTTCTTCGATTTCGCTCTGTTTTTTTCGATCTTTTCAGCTACTGATGACCCTTTTTCGAGTAGAAACGCAGCTGGAGGTTCTGTATGAGGCAATCCAATCTCCTTATACGATGGGAATTTACCATTTACTTTTCTTTCAACTCAAAACTTGTACCGGAAAATGCCATTTTGAAATAAAGGATAGAGAAAAAAGCTATGATTATTGAGGTTTTTTGTTGATGTTTATGTGAACTTGGAGAAAGAGATTGTTTATGGCTGCCCTAGCCTCTCTTCATTTGAACTCATTTTCATCTTCTACTCTCTGAAATTTCAACTCTAGATTCTTAAAATTTTGTTGAAATTCCTCAACCCCACCTTAAATTCTGTTAACCACCATACGAGTTTGTTGAAGACTCTTATGAGGAAGACTGTTGTCCAAGTCAATGAACCTTTCCTCGTCATCGTCATCGACTTCATTGACCTCCCTTTCATATGGACTGTCTCGGCAACATTGATCATGATGAAGCTCTCCATTGCCGTCCTTGGCAATGGTGGTTTTGTCATGTGGGTCGAGAGCCTTCAGTTCCTTCTAAGGCTCCCTCATGGCCACCTGAACAAAAAAAAAATCACATGTAGAATTGATAAACTTCCGTGGAATTCAACAGTCTCACCACCAGCTCTGAAGAATTCACGAGAGACCAGCCAACTAGTTAAGAGGCGAGCACAAGTCAACCCTAAACACCAACTAGTCAAGAGGCGAGCACAAGTCAACCCTAAACCGTCAGTAGTAAAAAAATAATAATAAAAAAAAAATAACCCTTGCAATAAAATCTAAAATAATTTAAAATTTTAAAACAATAAATCGATATTCTCCTCTAAAAAAGAGATATAAAAAGAAATAAAAGATAAGTTTAAAAATTGGAATTTTAGAAGAAAATCAGTCTAAACTTATAAAAGACGTTATTCTGCGCACTGAGTTCAAAATTCAAACCAAGAGAGCCAAATCGCTTTTCTTCTTCTTCTTCTTCTTCTTCTTCTTCAGGTCAATCTCGATTCCTCCATTTTTATCTGAGGAGGTTTCTCTCTCTTCAACAAATTTCTCTCTTTCTCTCTCTTCTTCAAGGTTCAGAACCCAAACCCTCCTGTCGTTCTGATTCTCTCTCCGGCTCCGATTCTAGGGTTTCTGTTCCGGCGAATGCTGTTCCTCCTCATCCAATGCAATCCAATTCCATTTCTCACTGCCAAGAATGCGGCATCACTCAATCCGAGTGTTGGATCCTCCACAATGTCCGTGTCAAAGCGTCCTTCCGTCGTCTCTGTACCAATTGCGTCCTCAGGAACAATATCTCCCGTTTCTGTCCCGTGTGCTTCGATGTTTATGACGATTCGACTGCGCCGCCGTCTCATCAGCGAGTTATGTGCTTCAGATGTCCTTCGATCTCTCATCTCTCTTGCATTTCTTTTCGTTTTTCTTCTACCTTCCTTTGCCCTCTCTGCTCTGATCCTTCTTTTACCTTCTTCGACTGTTTCGGCTCCGGCGGCCTTGGCCTTTGCCAATCGGAGTACGCCGTCGCTACTTTGGCCGGGAGAGACATTAGTGGTAAATCGGCTAAGGCGGTTGTCGCAGCGGCTCGTGTCGCCGCTCAATCCATGCGGAGAGCGGCAGCTGACGCTAGGGCTGTAGCGGAGATGAAGATCAAGAATGCTGCGTTTGCCAAGAAGCAGGCTACTCTCGCATTGGAGCGGCTTGCTTATCTTGAGCTAGAGGAGAAAGATGGAAATGAACATGCTAATAGTAACGGAGATGCTGTGGCCGGTGAGATGACGGTGGAAGAACAGAAGCTGCAGGACTGGATATCTTCGATTCTCGAGCCTAAGACGCGGAATCAAACTCAGTAGCAGCAGGCCAATGGATAAGGAAACCAACTGTAGAATTCAGTAGAATGCAGAGTCGCTATACAGTAAAACCATCCATGGAAGCCTCTGAATCAATGTAGTGATGGTTTTTCCAGATTCATGGATGGCAGGAAAGATCAGTCGAGGTAAGTATGAAAGAATTTCCATGTACATTTCAACATTGTTTGCTGAAATGATATTGAGAATGAGGCGCATTTTTCTGCTTCTCTATTGAATCCAATTCTTTATTTTACCCATTTTTGTGTCTGTTAAAGAATTCAAAAGGTTGAAGATTAACGTTTTCCTCTGGAAAATTAAAAAATCCATTCAAAACAAGTTCAAATTTTTGAGAGGACAAATAGATGAACACGAAGAACAATGAAATTTGGAACCCCATTTCACGATTAATCACGAGAGAACATAAAGAGACAAACTAAAAAATTGAAGATCGTTGAAAGGACGATTGTTGCTCTTTAAAGAAGATTATACTCCTTCCTCAATCAAATCATTTTCTTTGTTCCCCCAACTTCCGCAACCCTACGCTTAAATCGAAAAGGTTACAAAAGTGGTTGTTTTGATACAATTTTAACGTCGAAAACTTCTTAAACGGATAGATATATGATTAAAACTGGCCACTTATGTATTATACCCTCGTTCATATACTCACTACAAGAGTCGACATGAATGATTGTTAACAACAAATTAAAACGTAAGAACACGAAAAGAAAAATTTAGAAAGTTCGTGCATAATCAAAGACTATCTTTGGTCTTTATTGTGAAATGAATGCTGAAAATAAAGACAACCTTTCATGGATCAAAGACGGCAAAGATTACTTAGTGCCCCTAAAGAAGAAAGGTTTGGTTCATCCAACAAATACAAATTTGCATGACTTGGTTGGTTAAAAGAATTGTCCTAAGATATTACATTCAAATCAAGATCAAGAGCGAGCCCCCATAACAGCAACTTCCCCATACTCCCAACCCAATAACATCTCTATTCCATGTAACAACACTTCACTTCCCACAAATTCAAATGGATTCATCATATAATTCTCATCTTTCCTCTCTTCTTTTTCCTTCCTTCCTACCAATTCATGTTCATATTTATATACCACTCTACTTGTTGTGGTTACCAACCTGCATACGACCGCTATGTGACAACCTTGATGCAAGTAACGGTGCTTCTTCATCGACATTCATGTCGGACGAACCACTTCCGCCGTTGCCATTGTTGCTATTTGGTGTGAATATATCTGACGATCTCTTCTCTAACTTCCAGTCCTGTATTATGCATCAAAGTTTCAGTTAGGAAAATATTGGAAGGTTGGTCAAGAGACAATAACCAGCTCATAGAAATTACATAACAGACAGACAAAGAAGCACGTAAGTTAATCGTTGGCGTTTGTACGCACACCGACCCCAAAACTCATCGTCCCTCAACAAGGACCTTGAGATATCGGAGTCTTTAGTGAGCTTTCAGAACAACAAGTTTGCAGATTGTTTGCAGTTCAACATTCTTGTCTTACAGACTATATCCATGAATCTACTGGGCAAAATCATCGAAGGAAAGGGAAGGAACTATTGGATATGATATCATGAAAACTTGCAAAAGCTCGAAAAATTTAGCATAAGTTATAGCTCGATCAACTTTCAAGTTCGAAATAGAGGATGTCATTAAGGTAACATTTGCATCCAGCTCCTCTAATAAAAAAAATGTATTCCCCCAAGAAACATAAATTCCTATTAATTGAACTAAAAAAAAATACAATGATGAAGGACTCCCATAGACAAGTACTGTAAACAAAAATACGTTCGCACGCACGCAGAACAAAAACAATACATTCCATCTAACACTCTTAGGAATTCTATTCTTTTCCAACAATATTTGGGAATTGCAATCATATACATCTCATTTCCATGTAAATCATGAAGTGAAGTAAGCAGCAGGTAAGAGTTTAGTTCATAATTTCGCTTGACCTTAATAAATACTTCACATCTCACATTAATTAAAAACTAAAGCTCCAAAAGGAATTATATTATCGATGCAGACGACTATGATGGCGAGAAAATAATAATACTCATTCCAAATGTATGATAATTCTTCCAGCCTATGTAACTCTAATATTCCTAGCTTATAAAAACAAGAACAGATGCAATGATATGGAAATATGGAACGTTCCCATCAGTCACTAGAACCTAAGCTGATACTAAATAGTGGTTTGAAAGTTCTCGAGTATATATGTTTTAAATGATTAAAATTGCCATGAGATATAAATAATTGAGAGCAACCTTTACCATTCTCTCTGGAATGCTTTCAGAAGACAACTGAGATGCACGAACATCCTTGACCTTTATGTAATTATACATGAGGACGCCACACAATGCTGCATTGAGAGAAGGATTGGTAAATTGAAGATCATGATAAATTAGTAACACATAATAGGAAAAATCCTCCACTTGACAAGGATTACCAATTGCATAGCCAATGATATTCAACCCTGTTATCGTAGATTCAGGAAATATAACAGTTGAGAGTGCTATTAGTATCCAGTCTTTGAGAACACCAGCAACTCGAATAGTAACAGCTCCGGTTCTTCCAATTACTAAAAAAATAGAGAAGTTCAATGCCAAGGCACACAGTGCATTCGAAAAGAAGATCCAGAAGTTGAACTGAATTTGAGTAACTTGCATATTTGGTTTCTCCAACAAGTACCAAGGAACAAACAGGAAAACAAAGCTGCATGTATCAAACATAAAAAGTGAGCGGCTAAGTCCATTGACCACTATTAAATTAGAATCTGTCTTTTGTCAAATTTACGTCATTTTCCAATAAGTGATTGTTACTCGTGATCAATCCGAAATCTTAAGAATCCATTGACAATTACACAGATATTTCCAGTCAAGAAGCACCAAAGTACACTGTACCTGCATGGAGCAATGTAATATAAGCTGGTGATAGGATTTAGAGTCAAGCCCTTCTTTTGCAGAAGGACCTGCGTCAAGACCAGCCGAAGAGCTTCTGCAAAGATACCCGTGACCTGGTAAACTGTACCTACTACATTAAAATGAATCTCTCCATATGAGGAAACGACAACCCCAACACTGACCAGCAACATGTTGAAGAAAACGTCACACCTTAACTTGTCGGTGCCACACACAACAGCCATTAAAAACGTGGCTACTGGCACTGAAATATCAAATTTAAATCTAATTATTTTACATTTTTTAGGAGACTCATTCAAAAAGTAAGAAAAAGGATGAAGTTTAGCCTCCATACTTAAAGCCTTAAGCATCTGAATGAAGGCCACAGATATGTGTAAGTAGGCAGTGTTACCAAACCTGAAATATCAATAGTTAGTAATGCTAAAACTATTGTGAACATGACGCAAAGTGCACTGGTCCCATATCTGATAAACACCATTTACAAAACCAAAATACGAGACCCATGCCTACTAAACAAAACTCTTTAAGTACTATTACAAGAGGTCTAATTTTACAACTTTACTTACCAAAGACTTGATGCAAAAAACGCGCTAATTGGAATGACACATGTTGCATATCTGTCCAACAAAAAAGATATATATTATACACTAAAAAACAGATAGATATTATACCCAAGAAAAAAAAAACGTGAAAACAGCAATTATACCACAGCTTTTCTTGATGCACTTACATTTCAAAAGTCATTTTGACTGGAGATACAACCTGCAGATTTGAAATCAACATTAATGACTCTAGCTACCAAAATTTGAAAAGAAAAGATTAACCCAGCAAGAGAAAATGGATGAATTGGGATAATCCAAGACGTGCAAGATTTTTATATTGAAGCATTGCTGCCTGCTAGTAACAATTAGTAGTCGGTACAGACTGAGGATGATGTAGAACTTTTTAATACTTTTTCTGCAAATATGGTTAATAAAAAAAAGGCTACCTCTAAGGAAGATAAAAGAGACAGTTACAAAAACCCAATTCAACAGTCATCTTCATACCAAGGGAACAAATTGACAAAGAACAACCAGTAAATTGAAGAAAGTCCATTAAAGTCATATATTGAAGTTCAGGTACAATCATACCTTGAACACGCGAACGAGAAAGAATGCAACAGCACCAGAAAAGCCCATATGAATCATTGTAAGGGTAATAGGCAAAGGAAAATTGAAGTATTTTGGGGAGAGCACCCACTGCAATATTAGAAGTGCAAATCAAAACAAGCATCAGCAGAAAGCCAACAACTAAGCAGTAAGAATGGTTAAACCTTAAATTAAGATTGTGAAACAGTTAAATTATGAGAATTAATTGTGCCAGTAACGAAAAAGGTAATGAAAACTGGAACAAATTTCAAATCTGAATTAAAGAAAACAGATGTCGAAATACCTTGTTGTACAAAATAACTCCAGATGATAGCAAAATGTAGATGAAAAGATACAGGTAAGTGAGCACAAGTGGTCTGTTGATCATTTTGGCGAATAAGAACCTTCGCTGGCTGATCTAACAGATGAGTTCCGGCAGTTAAACTATCTTTATCACCTCTTTCTATGATCTGAAACTGAAGATAGAGGCATCTTCTATCTAAACTCTGCAGTCGAATTCATCTTCTAGGCTATACAATAGGGTTTATCGGTTCCACCGACGGGTGCAATGCCTACTGTACTGTATATACATGCAGGATAGCGCCTGAGAAGACGAAGCCCGGATTCATACAAAAGGATTTAACCATTCCAACAAGAAAATCCCAGATACATTACATTCAAACCATCCAAAAAGGCACTGAGAGTTAAGAAGTAACACGATTTGCCAAAATCATAAAAAATCAACAATCAACCACGCCAATAAGAAAGAATCGCGTACAAGAACCAAATTCGGACAATGACTAGTTTATGATGAAAAACTGATCCAAATGGGAAATATAAATAAACCCAAATTCGAATAGATCTGAAAGAATGCAGCACAAACAAGAGACAGAAATTCAATTGCAACACAAGACAAGACGCGGGACGCCAAGAAAACGCATCACAGAGCAGAACGCGATGAAATACGAAAGGGTGAAGAAGAAGAACTTACAGAAACCGTGGGATCGAGGCGTAGGCGGGAATAGGAAGGAGAAAAACGCTCAACAGTTGCAGTAAATAAACCCTACTCGGCGGTGAGAAGGAAAACGATGCAGAGAGGGGAATTGTGGGGTTCCAAGTGGGAAATGGAGAACTGGGTTAGTAGAGAAAAATGGAGGAAGAGGAGGGAGAGGGACAGAGAGTTAATGGCGTCTGGATTTCGAAGAACTGATGGATCCGTACGCTGTAAAAAGTGCATTAATGGCTTCTGGATTTCGAAGATGCAGAAGTGAACACAATACACACGCTGTTATGCTCCCTTTTCACGGAACGGGTTCCTTTAAATACTATCCACATCTGGTTTGAGTTTAAAGAAATTGAGATTTTAGTATAAAGATGGCCTCAAATCGAATGAATCAAATGAACAAAATTTTGAACTACAATGGTCTGGTTTAGTTCATAATCCATAAAATTTCTAAATTTATTTAAACAAAATAACAAATGTAATAATAATAAAAAAAGTTGTATAGATCATAAATGGCTCGACCGAACTTAAACAAGATCACACGGTTCAAGAGCCACATCGGCCTTGATCTTAGCCTATAAGGCCAACCATAAAGTTATATATGTCTACCTAGCGAGTAGGAAACTCATCTCTATCCTTATCTATAGCTTCAATCCACCTATCTCAATACTCATTTTTACGAAATTGTCTATTTATTAGTTTTTTTAATATATTTTTAAATTATTTCATAAATAATTTTTCATTTTCAATAATATTTATTTATTAAAAAGTAAAACATTTCAATAATATTTCATAGACAAAAATATAATATAATACCTTAATCAACAAAATTTCTAAAAAGTCAAATTTTAATATTATAACGGACTTCGACTTAAAAAGGTTAAATCCGAATATAAGGAGAAAAAAACCTAATTTAGAATTTGAAAACTTTGCTACATTTTGCAAATTCCAAAAAATCGAGTTAGATTTGCAAATTCCAAAAATCCGAGTTAGATTTGCAAATACCCTAATCTTTTTCCTACCCATTACAATTACTCTTTCAAATATTTTATGTCATATTGCATCAACAAATTTATTTTTATACTTTTTCCATAGAAAAAATAGAAAATAGCTATCGATTTATATTATCTTATAACGAAACATCGGCTCTACGAAGGAAGAGCTTAGTCGGCATTAAAGAAGACAACGTAAAAGAGAATCCCATCGAGTACCTTGATAGTAAACGTTTCGTATGTTCGGTTGTCCACCTCCAAAGTCATGATTCAAGCTTGAAGTTCAAGCTCGAAAGATCGAAAATTTAATAACTTAAAACTCTAATTGTCTCCCTCGGCCGACTCTGAACGAATAAAGCCTGCTCGAGATTAACACGAGAGGTTGTAACCATAAGCATAATGTAAGGAGAGGAACATCAAGCGTTCAGTTATAAGAATCAGCTAGCTTAATCAGAGTAATAACTGTCTCTTAGGTTCTTGCAAAGAAGACTAAGCATGGGTACCATTATCTAGATGGCCCTTCCCTTCAGATTTTGGTCTAATGAACCCTAAACTGGCCAGCTTTTGCACTAACATCTTTTCAGCCGCTACCTAAAATGATCCAAACAAAAATAAACGATAAGAATCGACTTAAATTAAAAAACAAAGCACGAGACAACGTACTAAAGATAAACAAGTTGTTTTCTAAAATCAAAATGATTATCAAACGAAATCTACCTGCATAGTTCTTTTATAGATCAATCGTCACATTTGATTATTTGTGTATTAGAAAAACCAAGAGGGGGAGGGTCATCAAACCTCGATCATAGGGCTGTTTTTCGGGATATTGCTAGCCAAGATGATATTTAAACCCGTCTTTAACACTAAAGAAAGAGGAAACAAAGGGATTAGTAAGACTAAGAGAAGACGTGACAAAATTACATTGACATAAGCATAGCTCAACTGGTTAACATACCATCTTGATCCACGCGTTTGAAATTCAAGTAGTCTCTCACCCTGTTGAACTAAAAAAAAAAGTCAAAATTAAATTTACATAGTACCTAATCGACGAGCCATGCTAGCTCCTGCATTATCAGATGAACCTCCGAGTATGGAAGTGACACTCACTGTATTGTTCTGCAAAAATTTAGTGGAAAAATATTAACGATTATGAACTGATAATATTAAACAATATGGAAGAGAGGAAACGATGAGGAAGGTGGAACAGAAAATACATTTATGTAACAAAAAGTTTTGGGATGAGTTTGATATAATTTGTGTTACCATAGAAAGTACTTTTAAGCTAATTAAATCCACCATAGTTAATAGTTAAGAACGTTCGTCCAAAAGGGGTGAATTGTGAGATCCTACATCGGTTGGGGAGGAGAACGAAGCATTTTTTACAAAAGTGTGAAAACACACTACTCCCTTGAGAATAGGTCTTGGTCCTAGAGAATAGGACTTATGACAGTGTTCAACAATCTCCACCTTGTCATAAGATCTCCAAGTTGATAGCTAATTTGGTTGCTACCATGTCAACACACTACTCCCTTCCGACGTTGATGAAATCTAAACAATGCCAGAACTTTTCACGAGTGATCACCTTTGTCAACATATCAGCAGGGTTATCAGCAGTTCCAATTTTTAATAACCGAATATCCCCTTTGCTAATAATTTCTCGAATAAAGTGAAAACGGACATCAATGTGTTTTGTACGAGCATGATGGACTTGATTTTTTGACAAGCAAATAGCGCTCTGGCTATCACAAAATACATCTATATGTTCCTGCAAAATACCCAAGTCATTGATCAAACCATGTATCCAAATAGCTTCTTTAAAAGCTTCTGTTACTGCCATATACTCTGCTTCAGTGGTAGACAATGCAACAGTAGACTGCAATGTTGAACGCCAACAAACAGGTCCACCAGCCATAGTAAATAAATAACCCGTAGTAGATCGTCGCTTATCCAAATCACCAGCATAATCAGAATCCACATAACCAACTACACGATTGTCAAGATTAAACATTTCTTGTTTTTGAAACTTAATACCAACATCAATAGTGCCAAGAATGTACCTAAGAATCCATTTTACAGCCTGCCAATGCTCTTTACTAGGATTATGCATATAACGACTCACCATGCTTACAGCGTGTGAAAGATCAGGTCGAGTACACACCATAGCATACATCAACTTATACAAATGTTGTTGGTGCGTTGATGTATGCTATGGTGTGTACTCGACCTGATCTTTCACACGCTGTAAGCATGGTGAGTCGTTATATGCATAATCCTGGTAAAGAGCATTGGCAGGCTGTAAAATGGATTCTTAGGTACATTCTTGGCACTATTGATGTTGGTATTAAGTTTCAAAAACAAGAAATGTTTAATCTTGACAATCGTGTAGTTGGTTATGTGGATTCTGATTATGCTGGTGATTTGGATAAGCGACGATCTACTACGGGTTATTTATTTACTATGGCTGGTGGACCTGTTTGTTGGCGTTCAACATTGCAGTCTACTGTTGCATTGTCTACCACTGAAGCAGAGTATATGGCAGTAACAGAAGCTTTTAAAGAAGCTATTTGGATGCATGGTTTGATCAATGACTTGGGTATTTTGCAGGAACATATAGATGTATTTTGTGATAGCCAGAGCGCTATTTGCTTGTCAAAAAATCAAGTCCATCATGCTCGTACAAAACACATTGATGTCCGTTTTCACTTTATTCGAGAAATTATTAGCAAAGGGGATATTCGGTTATTAAAAATTGGAACTGCTGATAACCCTGCTGATATGTTGACAAAGGTGATCACTCGTGAAAAGTTCTGGCATTGTTTAGATTTCATCAATGTCGGAAGGGAGTAGTGTGTTGACATGGTAGCAACCAAATTAGCTATCAACTTGGAGATCTTATGACAAGGTGGAGATTGTTGAACACTGTCATAAGTCCTATTCTCTAGGACCAAGACCTATTCTCAAGGTCTTTTTTGGCTTATTAGTTTATCTTTAGGTTTAGCAGAAGGCTATATAATGCCATTCTTTCTGCTGTTGAAATCATTAAGTTTTGAGTGTCATATTGTATGTCTGGAGTAACTTTGGTGTTGTGAGTACATTTGTTCCGCTTTCGGCGCTCAACAAAAACCTATCCCTAACAGACGCGTTTTAAGAATTTTAAGTAGAAGTTTGAAAGGAAAAGCTCAGAGAGGATAATATCGGCCAGTAGTAGAGTTAGACTACATATATGGTACAGATTATCAACGAACAACTTACAGGTCGTGTGGGGGCAGCTGCGTATAAATTTCCGAATTTTGCAGAACTGCAACCAATCCATACATATATCTACACTAATAAGAAAACATAAAAGAACTTGGGTTAAGATATTTAACACAATAATGCTAACAATTGAAATAGAAAAATTCATAGGAAGGCTTAGAAAAGCCATGAAGAACCTGTTTAGAGAGAGATATTATCTGAAAATGGACGGGGACATCGTTTATGGCTTCACTATAGCAAGAAACACGAACACCACCACCGTCAAGGTCGCCATTGTTATTGCTACTTGGTAGCTCAGCAACTGGGTGTTTTTCTTTTGAGGTTTGAGCTTGAAATAACATTTTTATGAACCTAACACAAAGATGTGAAAATATTGGAATACTGATCTTCTCGAAGGAACTTTGAGGTTAGTTTAGGGCATGAGGTTAGTTTAGGGCATGACTCTCGTACCATGTTAGGAACCACGACTCTATGATATTGTCCACTTTGAGTATAAGCTCTCGTGGCTTTGCTTTAGACTTTCCCAAAAAGTCCTCATGCCAATGGAGATAGTATTCCTCACTTATAAACCCATGATCTTCCACTAAATTAACCAACGTGGGACTCACTCCCAATAACTTCAATAGGGACTGCCCGAAGTAGGACTAGACCATCTCCATAGTAGACGCATTTTAAAGCTTTGAGAGAAAGCTCGAAAGGAAAAACCTAAAGTGAATAATATCTGCTAGCGGTGGGCTTGAACTGTTACGTGAATATATTTTGACAAGAATGATTGAAACTACCTCAAAGTTCATGAGAGTCGGATAGAGACTCAAGAAAGCTGTCTAAACTCTTTCCCTTTTCCTTGAATTCCATGCAGAACAAAAGCAAGGCCATGATGAAGTTCAACCATAAAATTTCCTTTTCTTCTTACCCAAAAATTCACTTCCAAAACGTAGCATATGATCAACGCCAAGCTACGAGTACATAATATTCAGTGAACTCCAGCTTAAAGATACAGTATGTTCATGTGAAGCTAAGAGAGTCATATATCCATCAAGTCGAGGAAAATTCAAATCAATACCTTAAAGAACGATTACATAGA